CTAAAGCATTTCTTTGGAATTCTGCAGGCAGAAAGTCCAGATCCCGAAAATCAAAAAGCACTCAAACGCAGTGCCTTTAAAAGCACACACACAGAAATCAATACACATACATATGCAAAACACACACAGAGTGCCCTTTAAATCTGTTTTATATGTGACAGTGAATATGTGCAATGTTTATATTGTTTGTTATATTTTTCTGAGGAGCTGTATATTTTATAAACCTTGTTTTTTCTGTTGAGCTGCAGGATTGTGATAACACTATTCCCTCTGGTCCTATTATTTTTCTACTCAAAGCCTATAAAAACACTAAAACAGCAGGAAAATCATTCTCGTTTTTTGTATCTTTACTGTGCATCAGTCTATAGGCAATAAATGTAACGACATTCAAAGACTCTTACATTCATTAAACTGTTTGTCTGTGTTTCCTATTGTCGTTTAGGATATTGTACTTCTAAAGCACTTCTGAGTGACTTATCATTTGTAGGCTGTGCTAATCATCAGCTAGCACCAAATATGACGAATGCTTGTGTTTCCAGGGCTGGAGAGTAATTCTACGATTCATCTTAAAAAGATTAAATTGCAAACAGTCAAATTATCATACCATTACTGGAACAAAGTTAATAGTTTGGATCAAAATCAGCATATTAAATCAACTTTGTGCTTTAAATTACATTCGTACGCCAATAGAAGGCATAACATTGTGTTCAAGAGATGAATCCAAAAAGCTGATTCATCCAGGATGAGGGATTTCTCAACTTATTCAAACTGACAAATTCAAAAAACTATGTACAGTTGAAGTCAGAATTATTAGCCCCCCTGAATTATTAGCGCCCCTGTTTATTTTTTTCTCCAATTTCAGGTTAATGGAGGGAAGATTGTTTCAGCACATTACTAAGCATAATAGTTTTAAAAACCTATTTCTAATAACTGATTTATTTTATCTTTGCCATGATGACAGTAAATAATATTTTACTTGATATTTTTCAAGACACTTCTATACAGCTTAAAGTGACATTTAAAGGCTTAACTAGGTTAATAAGGTGAACTAGGCAGGTTAGGGTAATTAGGCAAGTTATTGTATGATGGCGGTTTGTTCTGTAGACTATCGAAAAAAACATCCGCTTAAAGGGGCTAATAATTTTGTCCCAAAAATAGTTTTTAAAAAATTCAAAACTGCTTTTATTCCAGCTGAAATAAAACAAATGAGACTTTTTCTAGAAGAAAAAATATTATCAGACATACTGTGAAAATTTCCTTGCTCTGTAAAACATCGTTTGGCAAATATTTAAAAAAGAAAAAATAATCAAAAGGGGGCTAATAATTCTGACTTCAACTATATATATATATATATATATATATATATATATATATATATATATACATATATATATATATATAATTTTGTTCAATCTGCTAGTAAATTACTTCTTGTTTTTGTTGTTTATTCAGAAGTGACGGACAATCCTGATCTCAGTCTCAAGCTGCTTTTACACTAGTGCAGTTTTGTTATAAAACCGCCATTTTAGAATGAAAATGCTCCTTGCTTAGACTGCCATTTTTTCTGCTTTTGAGAAAAAAAGCATCTCTGTTCACAGGATATAGCCTAAAATAGCCTAAAATTTATTCAGATTCATGCAGCTCTAATACCGGAATGAATTTTTTAAGATATTTTCTGTGCCAATTTTGGATAAAAAAAAAAAATCTAAGAATGTATTCTCTGTAGCTGCATCTTTTAATATGCTTTATGAAGGCTTTCAGTGTGCTTTTTTTATGATAAAACATATTTGTATTTATCCCACTCCCTATTTTATGTACCATGTCTTAAATAGCTTGTGGAATTTCCCAGGCAATGTTTGGTATCTTAAGGACACAAGTTTAAAGACACAATGTTTAACTTAAGCATTGACAGAAGACATTTTGAGGGATGGTAAAAATCAGATGGGCACAGAGTAAAATGAGAGCTCGCATTTCTGAATATCATACCGGCAAAAGATGCACTCAACTTTTGCAATCCCCCTGTGTTTCTCCAGCACTTCCCTGTGGGATGGATGTATTAGTGGTGTTGTCTACTGCAGTGTTTCCCTACCCTGTTCCTGGAGGCACATCAACAGTACATTTTTTGGATGTCTCCCTTATCTGACCCATTCATTTCAGGTTTTGGAGTCCCTTCTAATGTCCTGATGAGTTGATTCAGGTGTGTTTGATTAGGAAGAGGTTGAAAATGTGTACTGTCGGTGTGCCTTCAGGAACATGGTTGGGAAACACTGCTCTAGAGTAGTGTTAACTGTAAAGCTGCCTTCTCTCTATCTCCGACAAATGTTTCCAATGGAGAGAAATTTTTATTTACTGCCATTGATATGGCTACTGCGGTGTGGAAAATAAGGATGGAATCATGACGTGGAACGTCATGGAATTTGGCAGAATTTTAAACATATAATTCAAAAAGGGGGATGTACACTTAATCAAATCAAGATATAGATGTGAAAATATTTGAACTGGCCTTTGCCTTTTTAATAAAGTCAGCATGTCTGTGTAAAAAATGTATAAATATTATTAAAATGTAAATAACTTTCATGGATTGAAATTAGTTAGACCAACTCTCTTTTTAAACTAAAATGCCTTATTTTCAACACTATATCTGTAAAACTTTCATTTCTTTTTCAGTGGATATATTTGTAGACTGAATGAGGGAAGGTAACAAGCATTGGTGAAAAAGTTAACAGCTAGTAAATCTCAAATGAATGTCAGTGATAGTGGAAAGGCTGCTTAAAGCAAATGTTCCTGTAACTGGAACACGGTACAGTTTATCATGGTAGGTGAAGCGTAGCGAAACAGCACTTCATCAATAAAGAAATGATCATAAACCTGAAAAAAGTAGGTTTTAAACAAACATTCATTCGTCTAACAGCAGTAATTCATTTTGTGTGCATTATAATTCTGTAATAGTCCGTGTATGGAGTGCTTTGCAGTCTTTCTTCGCTCAAAGACTGATCCCGATATCCAGGTTCAAAGTACATGTTCAATATACAGTTCGATTCAGTTTGCGTATCTTCTAAAGTGCTTTTCAAGTAAGGCTCCTTTCAGCACTGAGGCTCCGCCCATTGGTTAGCCACTCCCATATTGGTCCCTGAATGAGTTTTTTTGACATATCGGTAAGCCCCTCCCCTTCAACGCAGATAAGTTAATGGTATTTGAGTATCAGGGATGAGAACATGGACAACTTTAGTTTTCAGAGCAATAGAGAGACACTGGCCTCATCAGTATGTATGCAATACAAGTGGTCAAATGTTGTGCTTGCGGTACTTGGAGGAATTCCAGCTGTCCTAATAGGATGGGTGTCGGAATTTTCAAACAATTCAGACAAAGACATAGCAAAATGACATTAACAACAAAAAAAATTGACAAAACTACACTAGAAACGTTCTGTCGCTTATCCAAGTTTTAGAATCAACAAATAATAATAACATGACTTCTAGTTGATCATTTGGTATCAGAAGTGGCTTATATGGAATGCAAAGGCCTCTAGATTACGCTTATTTACCAAAATAAAATATGGTCATGCCTTGATTTTTTATTATTTAATTAGGACAGTAAAGGTCTGACTTTGCTTTGACAGAAGTCTTGTCACTTAACAGAAATAATGTACAGTGTAGAATATAAAGTCATGATGCAGTGGAAAAAGAATTAATATTATGTATGACTCCCATGACTGCATCCATACATCTCGGTAATGACTCAAATAACTTATTAATAAAGTCATCTGGAATAGCAAAGAAAGCAATCTTGCAAGACTCCCAGTGTTCATCAAGATTCTTTATATTCATCTTTAATGCCTCCTCTTTCATCTTACCCCAGACTCGCTAAATAATGTTCATATCTGGTGACTGGACTGTTCAATCCTGGAGCACCTTGATCTTCTTTGCTTTCAGGAACTTTGATGTGGAGGCTGAAGTATGCGAAGTGCTATCCTGCTCAAGAATTTTCCCTCTCCTGTGGTTTGTAATGTAATGAGAAGCACATATGCCTTGATACCTCAGGCTGTTGATGTTGCCATCCACTCTGCAGATCTCTCACACGCCTCAATACTGAATGTAACCCTAAACCATGATTTTTCCTTCACCAAACTTGACTGATTCCTGTGAGAATCTTGGGACCATGTGGGTTCCAATAGGTCTTCTGCAGTATCTATGATGATTGGGATGCAGTTCAACAGATGATTCATCAGAAAAATCTACCTTTTGCCACTTTTCCAAATGATCAACTAGAAGTCAAGCTATTATTTGTTGCTCTTATAACTGGGATCAAGACTTTTGTCAGGTAGTGTATATATTTATTCGAAAGTAAGTCTCACCAACAATGCTTTTAACTTTACTAATTTCAATGCAAGTTATTCAATTGTAGTAATACAGCCTCTGCCTTAAGTTAGATAGGTAGCATTTACGTTAGCTAGTTAGCGCCTGTCATCTCCATAAATTAAAATAAAAACCAAAGCTTACTGATTTTGTTAGCTTACATTGCTAGTTTTTTGGTGAAAAATTAATCTGTGCATCTCATTAAGAAAATGTAATTCTCAGATTATGTCTGTCCGAGGTGTAGGGTGTGGCTAACATACCTATCCACGCCCCTCCAGCTGTCAATTTTGACAACAAACAGAAATAGCCGGGAGGGAGTGTCTGTTAAGAAATGCCTACTTTACTACATCCAATCAGATCGCAGTAAAATAAAAAGCCACGCCCACTGTTTTGTCATTTAATATTCCATTTCTCTAAAAAAAAAAAAAAAAACGGTCACAGCTTATGGTTCATGCAGACTTTAATCTTACCCTGTGGTAATTTGGGACGCTTTCTTCCAAATGAATCTTGTTAACCACCATACTTATTCAAATGTATCTCTCCATTGCATATTTAAATCCCACTTAGACACTTCTCAACAAGAGGTGCTCCTTCCATCTCCAAAATGTATCAAAAACACCTTGGGACGAAGCGCTCATTGTAAGAAAGTTAGCAACTCTCTTTATTTGTCTGAGTTCACAACAGTAGCAAACTAAGAGAGGGCGGGGCTTACCGATAGGTCAAACTGACGTGACTCTGACAACGAGTTCGCCCGAGCCCTGCTCCTGTGGCGAGAGGTTGGTGGTCCCGTTCAGGCACATGGAAAAGAGGTGGAGCGGGCAACGAGGAGATGACTCCAGTCGGGTGGTTTGCGTATGTGTGTTCGACACCCTGTGTGTGTGTGTGAGGGGTAACCATAGGTTGCGGTGAGGGCTGTGTGTGTTCTCTAGGTCTCTGCTTTTATCGTAGTTCTGGACATCCCATAAGAGGTTTACAGCCCGCCATCGTAAAAGCACATTGTAAACAGCGCCGCCTTCATGAACAATCAGACCTGTGAACACAGGATATGTTATTAGTATAGGTGAACACTAGGGGTGCAATGGTGCAAATACAATTTCACGTTTTTGGTTCAGTTGTCGTTAACTACTATATTTGTGGAACTTTATTTTAAACAACTATTATTATCAAACATTATTTATTCTTAAATCCAAAGTGATTTATGAATAAAACTTTACAGGATTATTCTTTCAGTTTTTGCACTATACTCGTCTATATACTCATTATGTTGTACTTTTCCTGTTACCGATGTCTTATTTAATGTACACTCACCGGCCACTTTAATAGGTACACCTGTCAAATGGCTCGTTATTGCTAATTTCTAATCAACCAATCACATGGCAGCAACTCAATGCATTTAGGCATCTGGACATGGTCAAAACGATCTGTGGCAGTTCTATGGGAGCAAATGCCTTGTTGATGAGGAGAATGGCCAGACTGGTTCGAGCTGATAGACAGGCAACAGGAACTCAAATAACCACTCGTTACAACCGAGGTATACAGAAGAGCATCTCTGAACACACAACATTTCCAACCTTGAGACGGATGAGCTACAGCAGCAGAAGACCACACCGGGTGCCACTCCTGTCACCGAAGAACAGGAAACTGAGGCTACAATTTGCACAAGCTCACCAAAATTGGACAACAGAAGATTGGAAAAATGTCTCCTGGTCTGATGAGTCTCGATTCACACTTTGGGCCCATTAGTAAAAATAAAGCATTGTGTCAATGCCACAGCCTACCTGAGTATTGTTGCTGATCATGTCCTATCCATTATGACCACAGTGTCTTCTGATGGCTACTTACAGCAGGAAAACGCACCATGTCATAAACCACAAATAATTTCATACTGTTTTTTTGAACATGACAATGAGTTCACTGTACTCAAATGGCCTCCACAGTCACCAGATTTCAATCCAACGAGAGCATCTGGGATGTGGTGGAACAGGAGATTCGCATAATGGATGTGTAGATGGCAAATCCTGCAGCAACTGTGTGATGCTATCAAAATCTCTGAGGATAATTTCCAGTACCTTGTAGAATCTATGCCACGAAGGATTAAGGCAGTTCTGAACGCAAAAGGGGGTCCGACCCAGTACTAGTAAGGTGTACCTAATAAAGTGGCCGGTAAGTGTATATGTTTGAATGAGTCTTGATTATTTTGGTGATTAATTAGAGTAAAAATCCTATTTTATCACTACATTAGAATGTTAAATGTAAATAATTTCTTCCCTGCTATACTGATAAACCTCTAGTAAACACCATTTTTAATACAGCTTTGAATTTAAAATTTGATTCTGATTTACAAGATGTTGGTTTGACGGAGTTCTGATTTCAGTTCAGATATAATCAACACTTAAATCTTAATAGCAGTGGCAAACATTTTGGTGATTTCGGTGTTAAATCAGTGTTAAAGGACCGATGTTAAACCTCACTAAAGTGTTAAGTAAAAACATAATGCACCTGTAATATAGTACACTTTTTTAGATTGGTCAGTAGTGAGTAAGTGGGCATGTATTTGCCAAATAGGTCTAAATTTTAATTCAGTTCATTCGGTTTGAGTGCATATGGTTTGTCTTACCAATACACACAAGGTCCATGACTGCATACATGCCATAGCAGATTTGGAACAGGATGTCACTGCGCTGCCATAATGCCTCCGGGCTCAGTGCTGACCACAGCAACCAGGACACACTGGCCAGTAGGAAGAGCCCACCCAGAAACACTGCAATAACCTGAACCTTCTCCACCAGAGTCATGGTGACTCTCTGCCACTATAAGACACACACACAGTCACTGATCACAGCTCCCGATAGCGACTAATATAAACACAAATGTGATGACTATTTCTTTAAAATTAAAATCTTTTCAATGTTGCAAACAAGCAGATTGCAAAACATTATTATCACTGTAAAGCAAATATATTATCACTGTATATATTAATGCAGTGCCTGAGCCTTCATACTTTTTATGGGATCACAATGTAAATGCAGCACTGGAGGAATTAAGAGACCACTCCAAAGTTATGATCAGTCCTCTGGGTTTGCTATTAATAAGTATGTGCTTTTAGCCCTGACGGATATTTACTGATGTTTACCTGTTGTGGTGATTTGATATGTATAGGCAGAATGTTGAATCTGTAGTTGCAGAGTTCACAGCTCCAGGAGCCTTTCTCACTGATCCACTTAAGCAGACATTGCTGATGGGCATGTCGAACTGAGCCAGCACAGCGACACGGGCTCAGCAGCTCCCCCTGCAGCCAATCACAACACACACGGACACGTCGATCAGCCAATCACAGCACATGCAGACCCGTCAATAGTCAATCACAACACGCAGACATGCATCAATCATCCAATCACAGTAGCCACATCAGTTAGCCAATCAGAACAGACACACCAATCGCAAGATACAGATACATCTCAATCAGCCAATTACAGTACAGTACAAGCAAACACGCCAATCACAACATGCAGACACATTGATTGCCAATCACAGTAAAAGCAGACATGCCTCAATCAGCCAATCACAATGCATACTGACACCTCAGCCAATCACATAATACATACCTCAATCAGCCAATCACAACAACCACACGCACACACACACATCAATCAGCCATTCACAACATGAAGACACAGCTCAATCAGCCAATCACAACACATACACACATCAATCAGCCAATCACAGTAAAAGCAGACATGCCTCAATCAGCCAATCACAATGCATACTGACACCTCAATCAGCCAATCACATCACACACACACATACACAACAATCAGCCAATCACAACACACATAGAAACCTCAACCAACCAATCACAAAAGACAGACACGCATCAATCAGCCAATCACAACATGCAGACACAGCTCAACCAGCCAGTCACATCACACACACACACTCAACAATCAGCCAATCACAACACGCACACATACACACCTCAATCAGCTAATCACAACACAGACACACCTCAATCAGCCAATCACAACACACAGACACACCTCAACAGCCAATCACACACACAGACACCTCAATCAGCCAATCACAGTACAATCAGACATATCAATCAGCCAATCACAACACAGAAACACCTAAATCAGGCAATCACTACACACATAGACACCTCAATCAGCCAATCACTACACACATAGACACCTCAATCAGCCAATCACTACACACATAGACACCTCAATCAGCCAATCACAGTACAATCAGACATATCAATCAGCCAATCACAACACACAGACACACCTCAATCAGGCATTCACAACACACAGACACACGTCAGTCATCCAATCACAACACACAGACACACCTCAATCAGCCAATCACAACACACAGACACACCTCAATCAGCCAATCACTACACACATAGACACCTTAATCAGCCAATCACAGTACAATCAGACATATCAATCAGCCAATCACAACACACTTAGACACCTCAATCAGCCAATCACAGTACAATCAGACATCAATCAGCCAATCACAACACACAGACACACCTCAATCATCCAAACATAACATGCAGACACACCTCAATCAGCCAATCATATTACAATGAGATCATACATACAATCACAACATACATACACCTCAATCGGCCAATCACAACACATGCAGACATGTTAATCAACCAATCACCACCTGTAGACAAGCCTCAATCATCCAATCACAACCTGTAGACCCGCCTCAATCATACAATCACAACTTGTAGACCCACCTCAATCAGCCAATCACAGCACACTCAGTCACATCAATCAGCCAATCACAGCACACTCAGCCACATCAATCAACCAATCACAGACATAAAGATAAAAGACAGGAGTTGCATTCCAACAGTAATATAAGTCTGTCTGTCTCAGAAGACATTATAACAATCATGACCTCCACATTGAAGGGTCTTTTCAAAGTGCTCAAAACTGGCCACTTCAAAGGACCTTTCAGAATTAAAGATTTCCAAGACTCCAAGTAATGAACACCCTTCACTCCCATGATACTTTGCACATGTTCATTTTGTGATGTTGATGCCATTTTTGGTCAACCACTACACCATTCGGCCATTGGAAGCTCTCACTTTAGAGACTAAACTCTTCAGAGCATGAGCTGATGATTGATGGCTGTTGATTTGTTCATATTGAGTTCCTCTGCAGACCAGATGAGCATTGAGCTTGTGGAGAATATAGCAGAGGAGCTGTGTCCATCTCAACCAGGAGAACATTTAGAGTGAATGAAACACTATACACATAATGACTGAGAATCATCTGTCGAGCGGACGGGAAACGATTCATCTGTGCATTCATGAATAATTTCAGAAACATCCTCATTTAGAACTATAATGAGTCTGGAAGAGAGTGGAGCACATTTACACACACACACATACACACACACGAACACAAGGCGCCTGGAGGAAGCACATTAGCTGCAGGAAGTGAAGAAGAGCATTAGACATCAATGCAGCAGCAGGTATTCTAATGGATCTCTCTCTCTCTCTCTCTCACACACACACACACACACACACACACACACTGTCTGTTTAAAGCCTTAAAAAGTATTGATGTTTCCGATATTCTAATAATTGCATTAATTATGTATGTCCATAATAAATTCTAAAGATGTTTAGCATGTTTATGTTTCACAGACTGTCATATGCTCGTCAACAGTTGGATGTATTTATGATATATAGGATGAACATGTCTGGATGGGACAACCACATTTCACAAACTGCTTCTGTGGTGTGCATTAGTGCCCACCCACATTTTCCAATTCATTTGTCCCGTAGGGATTATTTAAAGAGTGTTTGTTATGAACCAAATCAACCAGCTACAATGTGTAACAATATAACAAAGCAAAGAAGAATGAAGTAGAGAGCTACAATCCCATAAAGCCTTGAAGATTAATTAAAAAAATGTTGATATATATAAAAATATTAATATTAATGGTTGTTTGCATCTATATAAAATTAAATATTTCTAGTTTTTTAATTAATCGATAATATCATTTGCATGGAAATGGGTGAAGCTTTGTTCACTGCCACTCTCTGATGGGTGAAATTTTCTTTATGCATATTTTTGGTACATATATAAGTGAACTGTTTTTTTACAGAGGGGCTATTGGACATTTTTTTATCATTCAATTCCGAAAATGCTATTCAGAAAAAATATATATGTTACATATGAACATATATAAGTTTTTAGATTGTGTACATGAAATAAAAGCTGGCCAATTTGGTGTATGCAAGTAGTACTGAAGTAGAAAAAAGAAACACTTAAGTGAAGTTTATTTATAAACTAACTTTGAGAGGATCACGCGCTTATGATTGACCACAGCCGGTCCTGCATTAACTAATGCATGATCTTCCAATCAGATGATTCCTAAGTCACTATAAATAACCACAGTCTTCAGTCCACAACCATATTCGTCTGGAAGAAACCCCTCTTCCTCCCCTTCTACTCCTCCCTTTACCTAGAATGGCCACACAGTGGCCCAGTGGTTTGCACTGTTGCACCACAGCAAGACCGGCTCTAGTCCTCGCCAGGCTGGTTTGCATTTCTTTGTGGAGTTTGCATGTTCTTACCAGGTCCACGTGGGTTTTCCCCGGGTTCTCTGGTTTCCTCCCACTGTCCAAAGACATGTTTTAAATGTAAACCCACTAACCAAATTGGCACCATAGTCCCCTATGGTGGGGGAGTTTTTGAGATATACCCAAGCTTAATGTCCTCTCTCACCCTGTGAATGGCAGGTAGCCCTGGGCTCGAGGATCCCTTGATCTCAGGGCTCTTTTCTGGGACAGCATGCTAAACAAGCTTACTAAAAATCGTGAAAAAGTATAAACTCTTAAAAAATGTATTTTGAAAAAAAAGGACTTTATAAAATTGCTAAAAAATAAATAAATAAATCACAGCACTGGCAGATGCGAGAACAACTGTCTAGCCTTTAACTTGCTTTAAAAAATAAACTGAATTAATGCGAACAGATGGGTTCATCAAATACATCCAGTCTATTACCAACAAAGGGTCTGTGTTTAAAAGTTTTCAGCTGTTGTTGAAAAAAGTATTTTCCTTAGGGGGGAAAACTAATGAGTTTTACCTTACCAGCTGTTAAAAAGAGATGTGCTGAATTAAATTAATGTGTGGATTTTGGGAAACAATCTTTCTAGCATGGTAAACAAAAATGGAATTGGAACTAAATAGTTACATTACTGCCTTTAAATTCCAAGACTTACAAGCTATACTTAGGCTATATATACTATATCAAGGGTGCCCTCTCGGTCCTGGAGGGCTAGTGTCCTGCAAATGTTATAATTCCAACCCCAATCAGACACACCTGAGCTAGCTAACCAAGCTCTTAGGCTACAGGCTTTCTAGAAACATTCGTGCAGGTTTGTTGAGGCAAGTTGGAGCTAAAATCAGCCGGACACGGGCCCTCCAGGACCGAGTTTGTACACCCCTGCTATATATACTAATGTGCTCGTGTTTTATATGCATCTTTAGTATTTCTAATGTTGATTCATTGCTTGTTCCTAATAAACCGATTTAGATTAACACAATGCTAAATAAAGAAATGAAAATAGGCCTAACTGGGGGGTAAATTAAATAAAATAAATAAATTACAATTTTAATTACAAATTCAGTTCAAGTTCAGGAATTTAACTGTAATTTTATAAAGCATTCTCGGTTCTGTTCTGAACTGCGCACAATATTGGCAACAACCAAACACGTCGTCTGTGTGACGCATAAATATAGGCTGCTAGCCGACAATAAACAGCGTGAACGGGACGAACGAACGACCTTACTTCACCTGCTCGGCTCCCTGAAAGCAGATCCGACATCCAGGTGTCGGGATACAGCTCTCGTTGCTGCAGCTGGAGCCCACTGTCTCCGTTTTCACCGCGCTCTGTCCGCCGCTGTCCTCCAGCAGTGTGTCCGTCCCTGCGCACGCTCCATCCTCGCTCTCGATCTCCGTGATAGGATCAGCCTCCGCGGCTGCCGGTGACGGTGTCTGAACTCCAGCGCCCGGTTCCTGCAGGACATCCTCGCCGTCGCTCCCCGGCACAGTTTGGGGCTGAAACTGCGCGGCGGTGACGGTCACGGTGGCGCCTCCCGGTGGCTCATCCACCGCCTGCACGTGCAACGGACCCGCCTCTGCGTGCACATCCATGAATGACGGCAGTAAGATCAGAATGAAATGGCAAAAAAACGAGGGGTCTGCGATCTTACGGGCCTCGGTCAGATATTCCACGGCTCTTCTCCCCTCTTGGACGCGTAAGTTTGGCCATAGATGTTCGTCTCAAATCGCGCGCGCTCTTAAAAAGGCACGAGCTTCTGTTGAAAGTTGCAGATGTCCAGGCTGCGCGAAGTGTTGTGCTCGGTGTCTCGTTGGCTGAAAGATGCTTTTCCCCGGAAGACACATTTCCATCCGGGCGCGGTGCTGGAACACCGAGCAGTGAAGGCACGAAACGCACATTACCGCACAGTCAAGCTTCTCAAAATGACCGAATGCACCGGTTGAGCGTGCGGTGTTGACGCTGAGTCAAGGTGCATGAGCGACGAGGCTTTTTCTGTGCTGTAAGTCGTACAGTCGTGGGTAACTGGACTGTGATGATGGACCCGACAACCACCCGCCCCGAAGCCACGCGCTCATTGCGCTTACACATGCCCTTTCGAAGATTTACCATGGTAACCACACAGTTACCCACTTAATAAAGCGGTGAAATCTTGGTATTAAGCCTAATGTGATATAACAGCCACCACTCTGCCATAAAGATATAAAAAGATCCATAGCCATCTGTACTATTACCATTCCAAGAAAAATCTGAAAGAATTGCAATGCCATCAACACTCAAACTAAATATATATTTGATGCTTGTTCAAACTGCTTGTTTATGAAGAGTTGAATCAATACAATTCTAAAGGGTTCTGTGGGGTAACTTAATTGTTTTATGTTCAGCTTAAATTTGTAAATTCAATTAAGGAACTCTGCATTTTTTATAGTGTAAAGCCAAATACAAGTTTTTACCTCACAGTAACAGTTTAGTAAGCTTATTTAAAAAGACTAGCTTTCCGCTTTGTATTTTAAATGGCTATTTAATTATTAGGGTATATATTGCTTTTTAAGTGACAGCAGTATTTTAAAGTAGGTAAATGTCAAATTAGGAAGATTTTAAAAAAAATGTTTGTGTTATGTGATTATCAGTGTAAATCTATACAGTGTGTGAAGGAGTATGTATCCAAATAAGGATTAAGTAACTATTAATTAAATTAGCGTATTTAAAAATAGCCGTTTAACATGAGTAACTGCAAACAGTATTTAAAAAACTAGCAAATCTTAACCAAAATTATTGCATTAATTATTGGTTGTAACAGAAACTGATTGTGAATTTGAAAATGCTCATTTAAATCACTTTGGATTTAATTAATATTTCCTCTTTTTGAAATTATTCAAAAATAATAGCTAAATTCTTATAATAAAATTGATTTTATTTTATTACAGACATTTTTAAGTAATTTAAAAATAAAAACAGGTAATTAATTTTATTAAATAAAGTCTACATATTCAATTTAATGAAATCTACAAGGCCACAGAATGACTCTTTACATAGTGCCATATAACTGTAATGTATATTGCGTATTATATGTAGCTACCTTTAAGGGCTAGAGCAGCTAACTGTTGCTATGGTTACCCCATTATGCCAACACAATTATATTCCACTTATGTTTTTTCTTTAATTCATCTAACTTTTGACACAATAATACTATTTTCTCTGTAAATTCATGCAAAGTTTGCAATGCAAACTTAATGTTAATTTAGTCTAATTTGTATATGAATTAATATTCAACTTCAGTTTGCGCTCAACAATAAATTATTAATTGATGTGGATGCTAAGTGTTTGCTGTATTTATCTTTATAATTATCATATAAGGTAGATTGATGAAGTAGTGTAATTCCCAGATTCCAACAAGTAAAAAGCATATTTCTGTCCTTGTAGTTGTATTAAATGTCCTGACCGCTACTTGTTCCTAGTTGAAACACATTGATATAATTTCTACTAAAACAGGAAAGCAGAGTCATAATCTAACGGATTCTCCTGCTAACCTCCTTCATGTGGCTTTACATTGCAGCACTAATTCAGTGCAGAATTTAAAAGGGTCTAATGTGTTTTGTGTTCTTAGGATATATGATCCAGCTTATACTGGTTAATTTTACACCAATACTAAATTTCAATATGTAAAAGAGTAACTGTGTGAACAGGTGACTGATTTTTAACCACAGTTTTAGCATCTTTTTGTTCACTGTAAAACCCAAAAATTTAAAGCAACTCAAACCATTTGATGAAACCAATTGCAACAAACCATTTAAGCTCAAAAACGAATCTTACGAGTACTGTGAACTTCATTTAAGTTGAAGTAATTGAGTATTTAATCAACTCATTACCTTCAACATTGAGTTCAAAACTCTTTTCAAATGAGTAGAATTAACTTTCAGTCAGTTTTGAGTTAACTACACTCATTTCATTTGATACAGTTGACTGTTGCGTTTTACAGTGTGGTATAAGGAAAGGGATGCTTTAGATTCTTGTGAATTTAATTGGTCTGAAATTAGTATCTTGAATTTGAAGCACAAATGGAAATAAAATACGGTAAGTTTTGAATGCATTTGTCTTTTAAATGCGAAACTTGGCATTGTTTGAACACACTAGCTTACAGATAGCCAGCATATTCCGATAAAAGCCCCCGGAATTATATTCTGATTTGATGTGGACTTAAAAAAACCTTGTGCATTTGCTCAGTGCATGTTTATAACACGTATTCTGTAACACTGCTAGATGTTAAGCAGGTCGCATGATATACAGTTCAAGCCTTTTATCACAATGCATGCGTGCGCATCTGTGTGTGTGAAGCTTTGAATCACTCTCTTAGGCTGTTTTAACATTATTAATTTTGTGCAGTGCCATATAAAAACTACCATACAAACTGACTAACTAACGACTACAAAACAAACTTTGTTATTTACTCCAAGACAACAATATAGTTATAATTACATAATTTTAATTAATTTAGCCCACAGTGTTCTGAAGCAGAGGGTAAAAAGATGATTATTTGCTTTACAGGCAACCTTAAAAAAATTAAACATTAAAAATGTAAATGTTTTCATTCATTCATTTCTACCACTAGAGGGAGCCTATTCACAACCAACAAAAGAGTAGTATGTTGCTGTGATTGAGTGTGGAATCATGGGAGTTGTTATCTTCATTACATCCCACAGGACACCCTGCAGAAATCATGTTCATGGATGAGGTAAGTATTCAAAATGTATTAGTATGAAGCAGAGTAAGGCTGAAAGCTGTTTTATTATGCCACAGTTCTGGTTCTTCAGCTTGTAAAGGTGATATGTTTTATCATACTGAATAAATACATTTTAGTATTGTGGTAATGCTGCTCTGTACAGTCTAATAAAAACAGCATATTATTAGTAAATTAGGAGTGCTTTGATTGGTTTTAAAGGGTTAAAAGCATTTTTGGTGTTTCCGTTTTCAATAAAACAAACCAGAAATTATGGGTGTTTGTGGTCATTAGCGTGGCGACTCAGGACTCTGTCTGTGTCACTAGTTAAAAAATAGCTTATTTCTCTAGAGTGGTCTGGATGCAGAAGTGGTGCAATGCAATCTGAACTGCATCCAATGCTTTTATCCAAAGCGACTTACAAATGAGGACAAGGAAGCAATTTACACAACTATAAGAGCAACAATGAATAAGTGCTGTAGGCAAGTTTCAGGTCTGTAAAGTCTAAGAAGGAAAGTATTAGTAGTATTAGTATTTATTTAAAAAATTTTTTTGAGTACAGTTAGTGGTATATCCAAAGAGGCAATTGCAGATTAGGAAGTGAAGTGGAGACTAAATAGTTGAGTTTTTAGTCGTTTCTTGAAAACAGCGAGTGACTCTGCCGTTCTGATGCAGTTAGGGAGTTCATTCCACCAACTGGGCAGATTGAACGTGAGCGTTCGCGAAAGTGATTTCTTCCCTCTTTGGGATGGAGCCACGAGGCAACGTTCATTCACAGAACGCAAGTTTCTGGAGGGCACATAGATCTGCAGAAGTGAGAGCAGATAAGGAGCAAAGCCAGAAGTCGCTTTGTAGGCAAACATCAGAGCTTTGAATTTGATGCGAGCAGCAACTGGCAGCCAGTGCAAACGGATGAGCAGCAGAGTGACATGTGCTCTTTTAGGTTCATTGAAGACCACTCGTGCTGCTGCGTTCTGGAGCAGCTGAAGAGGTTTGATAGAGTTAGCTGGAAGCCCGGCTAGTAGAGAGTTGCAGTAATCCAGTTTGGAGAGAACAAGAGCTTGAACAAGGAGTTGACCTAGTGGATGCCCTTCCAGCTGCAACCCAGCACTGGGAAACACTCATACACTCTTGCATTCACACTTGGGCCAATTTAGTTTATTCAATTCACCTATATACCGCATGTCTTTGGACTGTGGGAGAAACTGGAGCATGCGGAAGAAACCCACACTAACATGGGGAAAACATGCAAAATCTACACAGAAATGCCAACTGACCCAGCCAGGACTCGAACCAACGACCTTCTTGCTGTGAGGCAATAGCGCTATCGTGACGCCAACTCTGCACCAGTGTATATTAAAATAGTCTTGCATATTGTGCCTTTAAATTTTTATAGACATGTCTTCAAACTTCAGATTTTTTTGTTCTGAATTCATAGACTGCAGACATCCAGTTAATTGCATTGTAACTGCCCATGATTTAATGTACTCGCTTTGCTTGCCCTAATTGGAGTCACCACAGGAGGGCGCTCTAGACTAATAGGATTTAAGTGAGACAAAGCAGAGTAAGAGCAATTCACGTTTGTTCACGAGCTAACAGGTACAGCTCGGAAGAATGCCTTGAGCTTTTAGTGTCCCTTCGGCAAGCAGAGCGAGGTATGTTTTGTTTATTGTTTGTTGTTTATTTGGAAAATGTTAGATGTTTTGTAAATGTTTGTTGTTTATTTTTCTATGTTGTTTGTTTGTTTTCTCTAGTTTTACGGTGCTTTGGTGCTTTTGGTGCCTTTGGTCTTTTGATGCTTCTGTGTATACAACAAAGAACTGAGACGATGATTTATGTGATGAACTTTATTGCATCCAAGTAAACCTTTTTAAATGCACCCGTCAAAAACTCTCTGCCTATTCTTTGAAAGCTGAAGGGCTGCTACAGTAAAACTCGCTGCTACACATGGCGTTTGCATCGCGTTGGTGATTCATCACATGAGTGTCATGTTACAAGCCTTCATCTCGTCTGTGGCACTGCATGGCATCTACAAGAGACTGAATCTACACTAGGACGGCGACTTTACACAGTTAACTGGGAAAACTCTTCATGAAAGACTGAAAGGTGACTGCAAACAAACGTTGTGGACTCAGAGGTACAAGAAAAGGAAAAATATTTATCTATTCATTACTTTTGGGATAATTGCAATTTTTAAAGAAAAAAAAAGGATTTATATTTGTATGCTTTGTTGAATTTGTATGCAGTAATTGAAGTTTGAGAATGAGGAGTGACTAATGATTTAAGTGCTCATGTTTCAAGGTGTTTGTGTAATGTTGGGCTTATATTCATGATGCATGTATTAGACAAATGTTTGCAATTTTAAAGTGCTTAAAGTCTTAAGAGTTTATACTGTTGTTGCACATGTGATTTTGACTTATTACCTTTGCTATAATATTTTAGGTGTTTAAATTTGTCTGATGTAAGCAGGTTGCTGATTTAAGTTGTAGACAGACA